TAAAGTTTTCATGGTACTTACGTACTATGACAACTACCTTGGCAACATTTGACGATAAAAATATTCATTGGCCTTTTTTGGTTTATGTTTATAAATTCTTTTTAAAATAAAAACTCTAATTATAAAGGAACAAAAACTTAAAAAACAAAAATACCCAATATATATATGTATATACATTTATAAATAAAGTATATATAAATTATTATATATATATATATAAACTATATACTAAATGTGAGTCAAAAAAATTAAAATTAACTTACTTAAAATTGGTTAAAAGAAAACATTGAAGTTAATCATGAGGAAAGTGGCGAGAAATAGCTTTCAAAATAGCATCGAAAGGCGTTTCTGGTTTTTCTGCCAAATAAATTCAGCTAAATAAGTATCCAAATGATTGCGGCTTGTCCCCTGTTGTCGCTTGTTCCTCCATTTTGCAGAACCCCACATCCTTGCAATGTGTTGAGTATGAATCTGCGTAGATGAATCTACAAAATTGTATTGATTCACCTTAAAATGTTCAAACCTGGCAGCAATGAGCTCCTCTGTTTCATATCTAGGCCATGAATCTGACATTCTGACATTATTGTTGAGCCTTCAGCAATATTATTTTGGATTTCATGCATTAATGTTGTTGCCTTCTGGTCTGGAACTCTGAATAGAAATGTTTCTTTTGTCTTCTTGCAAATTCCACCGAAGTCCCACTGTCATGGCAAGACCTTCATTATTCTTCCGATGTGTAAAAAGGCTTTCATCACTTTTGACAATCATTCCGGGCACTCCAATTTTAATATTTTAATACCCTCCAAATCCTTCACACACACTTCACGCATATAATATTCCAATCAATAACAGTCAACAGTCTTATCGGATAAATCCAACTGATGTTTGCACCATTTAATGGATGACTCTCCATATGCCCAAAAGTAAATAAATCTTAAAGCTCTTTAAAATTCAATATGATTGTTTTTAAACCACGTACCAGTTCGGACACCAAACTTCTGTTAACAATGTTTGACATTGCATCTCCAATCAATAAAATCCTGAATTATAAAACTTCATATCATGGCCATTTTTACAAACGCATTCTTTAGGTAAAATTCCAGTCTCTGAAAAATTTTATCGCTTCTTCTTCATTTGATGAAGTTGGAAAATGTTGAGATCCATTGGGGAAAAAATAATCACAAAAAGTTTCACGTGTTTAAACTAAACAATCCACGTAAATGTAGCAAAAAAAAAAAAAAAAAGTGTGGTAGTAGCAAATGCGAGATAATACTCTTTATTTTAGCGCGCTCTGTAACCTATGTTAGGATTAGCCTGTATAACCTACAAGGGTCGTCAGTTTTGGCGATATACCTAGGTAGTCATCATAGTAAGCTAAGTACCATTTTCATTTTTGCGTTTATTTCATTTCATCAAATTATTCAGCAAAAATAAAATGCATTCTTTATTATGTAAAAAAGCCCTCGAAAGGCTATAAGTCTTAAAAAATAATGTCTTTCTTGGTGATTTTCTAAAGATAACTGACTCGCAATCATGTTACAAACAAAACCATAAAAATTCTGTGTAGCCAATCCATTCATTTGCCTGTTTTAAACCTGGGATCAACTACTATATATGGTTCATCAGAACTCAAAAATTCTATTTTTAATGCATTACACATACAGTTATTGCTCATTCATGAAAAAAAGCAGAAATTTGTCAAGTCCCCCACACAAAAACACAACAACAAAAAACAATCTTCTATGTGTATTCTATCCATTGGTCACAATACAATAATCCAAGCAGCAGTTGAGTTTTTCTATACCTTTCTACAGCAGAGCCCCTCGGGTCTTCTGATCTAACACAATGAGATCTCTTTTTAGGGTATATTAAGGACTGTTTTTGTATATACCTTCCACTGCCAGCAAAACTTACCTAATTCTGAGAAAGCAACGATGCTGTAGTTAAAATCAATTGTTAGAAGAATGCTACAAAAGACATTGAAAGAGTTTAATAATGCATATAGAATATTTATAAAATATTTGTTTAAGGAAAACTTGGGAGAATTTCAGGTTTTTTGTAATGTATCAATAATTATGAGCTCTTAAGCATTTAGTTTTAGTTTATGAATATAAAATACTTTTATTCAAGTTTTGATATTTATCAATATTTTCTGTACTTTTAATTGTTTAATTTATTAAAACAAATTTAAAAATAATCTAAACATAAATAAATGTATATATGTATTTTTAGAGTTTGAGGGGGGAAAAAGGAGAATGACCTATCAATGATAAAAGAGGTGCATGGGACATGAAAGGTTGAGAACCACTTCTGTACACTTAAAAAAAATATATAATGCTTTGAAAACTGTCCTAATTTACAGTAAGCCTGTATTACTGCTCAGTGGTCTCACCTGCCAATTTCAGTGCACTTGCCACTCGCAGGTACTTAATAAAAATGTCAGTTAAGTATTAGTTTCAAAACCTCATGAAAAACACAAGCTCTAATGGCAATTTCTAATGAACAACTGAAACTACACAAGTTTTGATGAGAACTTTTTAATATATGTTTTTTCAAATCAAAAAAGTAAATGCATTAATAATCCGGCTAGCTTTACATTAAATATTATATTCAAACAATTAATAGCTTGCTGCAATTAAAAAAAATTAATTTTATTCTTAGAGAAAATTTTCAAACAGTAAATCTTTGTTTCCAAGACAAAATCTATATTCATACATCAAGCAAGATTAAATTAAAAAAAAATTAACTTAATGAACATTCCAGAATATTTATTTACATTGCAATGTAATGTGCAGGGTGTTTTTTTTAATTGACACTACTCAAAGTCATCTGTGATTCATCAGCTAGAATAATACCAAATTTGGTACAGGAACTAATGATGACATAGGGAAAAGATCTCATGAAAAGATATTAGTTCAGAAAGTTCCTAATAGGGGAAAATGTGGCACTGCTCTAGTCTACACAACTGAAAATGTATATGAAATGCAGGTAAAATTTGAAAAAGCGAATTCTTGGTTATGTAAACAATAGCAGAATCGAACACAACCACTGTCATTTAGCAGTCATAACAACCTATGTAAAAGCTCTCTATCAATTAATGCACTAAAAGGCATGATTCAGAAGTTTAAAGAGATAGGATCCTTGGCAGCTCAGTTTAGTACAGAGTGGAAATCAGTGTCAGAACAGACCTTTACTGATGGCCTAACTGCAGTCACTGACAGCACTCGTGGGATCATTGCTGGTTGAAGCAGTGCCTGAGAAATGGCACAATAATTTGATTTCAATCTTTTCACGTGGTGGAAAATCTTGCAGAAAGTTCTTTACTTCTAACCTACAAGCTACCGTATTTGACGGCATATAATACGCACCCTTATTTAGAAGGCCACACACATGTAGATGCAGAAAAAGTTATGTTGTTCTAGATCGATCTGGCTAAAAATGCATTCAGTATTGAAAGTTACCTGTGTCCTTCACATATAAGACGCAGGTAACTTTTTTGAGACCAAATTTAGAAAAAAAGTGCATCTTATATGCTGTCAAATACGGTAATCCTCATGAAGGAATTAAAGCACAGCAATTATGATAAATGGGTGACATTTGCTCCGATATTTCTTGCCAGTGTGAAGGTCGACGATGCTTGGCTATGGAGAATTCTGTGGGAAGATGAAGCCCATTTTCACATAAATGGGACTGTTAACACTCACCATTCTTAAATTTGCGCATTTGTAATCCCATGCAGTTCAGGAAATCCTACTGAATTCACCAAAAATCACAGTTTGCTGTGGCTTCACAGAAGATTTCATCAGCAGACCATTCTTTTTTGAGAAAATTAACAGGATCATATAGCTGCACCTTTACGGAGCAAATGTTTTATGAAATTCTGATTAGTTTTGTCGTTCCACAATTTCAGCAGAGGCAGGTGCTGCATCAGGTAACTTCAAGTTATTTTTTCACTTGCATGGTGGCCTCGCTTCCCGGATCTAACTTCATGTGATTATTTAAAGTTTAAATGTTTATCTTGGTGGGGTTCAAACTTCTTTGACGACTTACCATATTTGACGGCATATAAGATGCATTTTTTCCCCTAAATTTGGTCTCAAAAAGTTACCTGCGTCTTATACGTGAAGGACACAGTCTTACACGCGAAGGTACTTGCATTCAATAATTGTTTATTTGGCTTTTACGAAACATGAGAACTAAAAGAAACCACGCTATTGAAACTTTTTTCATTGTGTGTGGCTGTCTAAATAAGGGTGGGTCTTATATGCCGTCAAATAGGCATTCTTGTCATGCACGTGTTTTGCCTAAGTTATGGCTAATGAATCTTAAATGTCATTCAAACTAGGAAAAAATTAAACATGTACATTCTTGTTCATGGCAAAAGTAATTAGTATCAGTTATAACAGCAAGTTTCTTCCAGTACTTCGGTGAATATTGTCAGTGAAAAGTCAACGGAAGAAGTTTTTTTAATAAATCCGTACCCTAAGGGCTGTGCTCAGCATTCCTGGTGATACGTTGCATTCGGCTCTTAAAAATTTCAGTAGAGGATACAATATGTGATCCACGAGAAAAATGGTCCCATCATAAGAAATATAAGACCTCATGAGAAAGTGCTTTTATTGAATGAAGTGCTATGGTGCAAAAAAATATCATCTCAACAACCCCTTCGGGCAGTTCATTTGCTGCATTAAAGCAGCGCTTTGCTAAAGTTTTTCCTTTCTTATTGATTTTTTAGGTTCTTAGTTGTGAAGCTGTTTTACCTATTGGCAACTTTCAAAACTAATTTTTTTCCCAAGCCTTCTTAGTCTGCCTACCAAATTTAGTAAAATTTTAGGTGACAGATCGAGCTACAGATGGGTCTCAGTAGTGTCCATTTGAAAACAAAAACACTGTATTAGCATACAAAATTATGAATTTTTTTTAACAAAGTAAAAATTTCTGAAATATTTAATCATTCATTCATGAAACACAATTTCTTCAGACAATTTCACTAAACTTACCATGAGGCATCAATACTGGATCTGTAAAATGAATACTACCAGTGTATCCATAACACATAAGCATTACAACAACACTATTAATGAAAGGTGTCCCAGAGTAGCTGATGCTTTGAGTTGTAAGGGGCTCAATATTGGAAGGAAATTGTATTCTAAATAAATATATACATAAATAAATAAAACAAAAAGTTAGACATATAATAGTTAAATTATGAGAGATATACGACTAAAAATTAAAAGATTGTATGCATCTAATATAACATTATTTTCCTTCTTTGGATCACCTTTTAAACATGCAGAGTCACTCCTCCTTTAATTTACAGCTGTATATTTGTTGTCATGGCTAATCTCATTTGTCTGACCTAATCAGCACAAAATTTATTGTGGCAAAGAGTGCAGACTGCATCAGTCATTGGCACCATATGCAACTGTACTACTTTGCCCAGTGTTGAACATAAAAAATGCCATGGTTCGCAAAACAAATATTTATCACTAAGTAATACGCAGAGTTACATGCATAGAAATACAAGCAAACAGACAGAGAATATGACGTTGTTAGGGGCTTCCACAGGAAAACACTGACAGCCATCAGCAAAGATATTAGGAAAGAAATCTGAATATATTGTGATCGCAAATTGATATTTACAGACAAGAAGCTTCAAATAAATCAAAATATCCCTGATAATGAAGTTGCCCAATGTTTTATAATGTGGGCACCTCCAGGAATCTCAGACATTTTGAAATACACTGGACATCCGTCGAATGTTCAAGGTAACCACGAAGATGCAGCATTTCAAAACAGCTGAGATTCCATACTTTACACCACATTATGATATGTCGGCAACCTTCATCATTAGGAAAGTCAGGACATACTTTTAAGGTCTTTAAATGTCAGTTTGCAATCACAATGAATTTCAACAATGTTTTTTCCTCTACTACCTCTGATTAGCTGAAGGATAAATAAAGATGCAAGAATGACAATGGATTGCAGAACTCTTTATTTAGAGATAATTGACAATATGCATACACTCTGAGTTTCATAACAGCTCAAAGTTTTGACCATTCGCTGTTATGCAAGCTTCACAGCGGCAACATTGCACTATCAAACCCTTTAAAAAATATCCGGCATGTCGAAGGCATTTGCAGCGGCCATGGAGATTCTTGAGACGAGGCCAGTGTTACAGTCAATGGTCATATCATGGACCCTGGCTTTCAGGGTTCTCACAAGAAGAAATTCAAGCTAGGTAAATCGTGTGATCATGGTGACCACAGGACGGGTCCTCCACACCCAATCCATTGCTGTGCAAACCTATTGTTCAAGTAATCCCATATGGCATGGGCAAAATGAGTAGGAGCCCCATCGTGCTGGTATGACGTTGCCCAACAAACAGAGATATAGGAGCATTGTCAAGTAATTGTAGCAGTACCTCCTCCAGAAAAATGCGATATTTTTGATACTTTGTGGGTTGTCATGGCTCAACACATGAATACTGTGTTGACTGCAGATCCCTTCATGATAGAAAAAAATGGTTTCATCCATGAAAAGAATACAGTATAGAAACACCTGGTTCTGGTTGCGTTTGTCCCTGTACCAGCACACATATTCCACATGTCGAGCATAATCTTCTGCGAGCTGTGACAGAACCCAATGCACCAGAAGGAGCATTTGAATATTACACTTAGTCATATATAAATTGGACTGAAAATCAATAAAAGTATGTTCTGTTCACTAATCAGTCCAGTTTTGCTTTACAGAATGATTCTCGACGTATGCAAAACGTTTTATCCAGATTAGTTACTTGTAGCACATAAGTATTACTAATGCTTTTAATTTATTATTGTTTTGAAATTTTATTTATAAAAAATAGATTTGTATGAAAAAAAAAAAAATAAATAAAGCCCTTTTTTAATTTACTGTAATTTTTCACTATTTTATACACATACATACATTACATATATATTACTATATTAGCACATATGTAGTAAAATCCTTTTTTGTCTTTCACAGCTTTTTTACACTGCAGTTTCTGTTTTCCATTTGACATAATTCTGGAGTTTTTAGAACTGTGAAGAACCCTCATCTATAGTATGCACTTCCACTGAACAGCTCGTATGGTTTCTTGATTTTTATCTTTTGAATTTTTGTTTTGGTTTCCTTTATGTTAATCGTATGCCTTCTGTCATGAGCATTGAGGACATTTTTCTCAGAATTTGAGGATGACATTTCCAAATGCTAGGCTGACCTTAGATCATGAAGGAGTAGGAAATAAGGCTTTTTATGCATGATATTTGTATCAGGAAAGGCATCTGTTTGTGGAGTTTATACATCAAACAATCTTGGTTACATTTGAAATGTTATGTTTAAAATGTACTGGGGTCCAATGCAGAGGAGAAAAGTCTTTCTAATGCTTTGGATTTGAAGAAATGTTAGAAATAGAAAAGTCTGTGAAACCCAAAAGCTGATAAAATATGGGTTTTGGTTTGGTTAAAATAAATAATATTTGGAACAGTACTTTTAAAATGTTTATGGGAGAAAAACAAAATGGGATGCTTGCAGTTATTTTTTGGGTTATGTCTCAACAGATTCGTTCCACTTTATAAATTAAACTATTTTAAATTTTCTGAAACTGATATTGAAAAAAGTAGGCGAGTTAGGAAAAATAAGAGGAGGCACGTCAAAATTCAGTCATTGAAAGTATGACAAATGCCACATAGAAAATCATTACGTTTATCTGAGAAGTTATGCGAGGAGGTTGGTGTTGGTGTATTTAATTACGGCAAAGCACACTAGGGCTATCTGCCAACGTTATGCGAGGAGAAAAAAAAAAAAAAAAAGGATACTGTATGTTCCGTCATTTAAAAATAATGGACTGTAAATTGACTTGATATTTCCTCAGTGTAGAACCCAAGAAACCTCAGAGTCATAATATTGACCGAAACTTCTTTATTGGCTTTCAAACATTAAGTTGGCTGAGGAACAGCAAAAAACACATTTAAACCTCCGACTTCAGTAGTAGCTTACCGAGCATACTCAGAAGAACCTCTGCTTAATTGAAACTCCAGTAATTCACAGCAACCCCAAAGCTCTAAACGCGAGCTTTAAAATCCTAACAAATTTGCGTCTGCTCCACTCCTTGGTACAAAGAAAGAAATACAATTTGCATAACATTGAACATACCCCCAGCCTTGAAGTCCCAAGGAGGTTCAAACAATAAATTTAACTTGTTGAACTGAATAAACCTGAAAAATAAAAATTAAAGTTTCTAAATCAGGAATTAAATGCTATGTGCTTTGCTATAGGTCTTTTATTTCACCATCGGAAGTGCGTAAACTCACCAAATCAAACTTTTTCATCAAGACCAGGATACACTTTGATAATTCTACCTAATTTCCAACGTAGCGGAGGTAGTTTTCATTCTTAATAAGAACCATATCACCAACTTTCAGATCTTGCTGCAATCTAGATAAATACTCACTGCTCCAGCTCTTCCAGAAATGTTGAAATAACCTTTGCACATTCCTCGAACGATCAATGCAGCTTATGGTTTCTTGAATCAGGTTAGATTCTGGAATAGCGCTTAAAGCCGCTCCGGTTAAAAAGTGTCCTGGTGTTATCGCTTCCAGGTCGCTACAATCACTTGAAGCTGGTACCAAAGGCCTAGAATTAAGACAGGATTCAATTTGGGTTATTAATGTCAAAAATTCCTCGTATGTTAAAATACGTGCTCCTAAACATCTTTTTAAGTGATGTTTCATGGATTTGATACCCGCTTCCCAAAGCCCTCCAAAATGAGGGGCAGAGGGAGGATTAAATAACCATTTAATATTTTCTGAAGAAATATCACCCTGTAGCTGTTCCTCACATTGAACTGTAGAAAAGGCTTTCCTTAACTCTTTATAAACTCCTATAAAGTTCATTGCACAATCACTGTGAATTTCACACGGTTTGCCTCTACGAGCTATAAACCGCTTAAGTGTCACAAGGAATGATTTTGTTGAAAAATCTTTAACTAATTCTAAATGTATTGCTCTTGTAGCAAAACATATAAATGGACATATGAAACACTTAAAGATTTTAAATCCTACACCAGGACAGTATTTAATGTTAAATGGTCCTGCTAAATCAATCCCTACACGAGAAAAAGCTCTACTTTGAGTAACTCTTAAAGTGGGTAAATCTGCCATTAGCTGAGTTGGAGTTTGAGCTCTAAATCTATGGCAGATAACACATTAGTTTATATACTTTCTTATAATATCTCTAGCATTCACAATCCAAAATCTATGTCGTATGACAGAATTGAGTTGCTGCGTACCTGCATGAAGATGAGTGTCATGATAATGCTTAATAACTAAACACGTAATATTATGATTTTTAGGTAAAATCATAGGATGTTTCTGATTATTTGAAACTGTAGAGTTTCTGAGCCTTCCGGCTACACCCATTATTCCTGCGGAATCCAAGAAGGGACAAAGACAGTAGTTTACTTGATGTCTTCAAGGGTTTACTAGATTCTAAACAGAATAATTCTTCTGGAAATCGGCTCTTTGTACAATCCTAACAATCAGAGAAGTAACTTTGCAAAATTCTTCAGTAGATAAATAACCCTTTATACGCTCTGTAACTTAGTACAATTATTTCTGAATCTTAAACACCACGCTAACACACGACATAAGTTTAACCATGATGAACTTTAAAAACACACCAGGCTCTTCAGATTTGAAAACATTTGAACTGAAACTCTTTTTTCAATTCTTTTAACATAACCTCATTTTCTAATTCTACACTTGAATCTTGCTGTACATGAATTAGGGATTATTTTAACCACTGTGGTCCCTTCATCCATAACTCACATTGTAAGAATTCTGATGGAATAAAGCCTCTGGACCCACAGTCTGCAGGATTTTGTTTCCCAGCAACATAATTCCATTGAATACCTGGACCAGCTTCCTGGATCTTCGCAACTCGATTTGCCACAAAAAGTAGCCAATGGCGAGGTTCGGATGAAACCCATGCCAATGTAACCCACGAGTCGATCCATGTGCAAATATTGTTAATAAGCAGTTCTATGCATGATAATACTGCATGTAAGAAGTTGCTTAAAAGTAACACAGCACACAACTCTACTCTCAGAAGAGACTAGGTTTTTAAGTG